TATAGTTTTATAATTTTAATAAAGTTTGCTGATTGTAATACGGCTTATTAGGAGATGTAGTAATTCAAAATTAATTAAGTAAGAATTATTAGTCAATTACTACAGAGTCAAGATGACAGGTAGATGATGTGCTGTGACCGCAAGCTGTGGGAATATCTGGATGCTAGTGTAATCTACGGCAAACAAGTCTTCAGTAAGTAGTTGCATCTCAAATTCTTTAGCTCAGAGCTTATGAGCTACAAGCAGAGCTGCAGAGACTGCATCTCAAGATAGCAGGGACACTTTGACACTTAACTTTAGTGGGGGATAAATATCCCTTAGAATAGGGCCTTCTGTGTTGGCCAGTGGTCAGGGACAGTTTGATGTGACTGAGTAAGGTAGGTCAGGGCATCAAGAATTTATGGTGGACTAGCTTTGACCAATGCAATTGTTCGATAGATGTGAGGTCCTTGCAACCTTTATTCATAAAAGTAGTGGCTACAGAGGGTTTGAGCAATCTGACAATGTCACCATCATGCAAAATATCATTTAGGTGAGCTGGGGAGTTAATAGGAACGTAGTGTTAATAGTGGACAACATGGCTATGAAAATTAATATGGTTCTTTGCAGCTAGGAGTGAGGGTCCAAAAGACTGTGTTCCCTACCTCGTTCACCCTATGCATTATGGGATATGCATTATTAAACCCCAAGCACCGAGGGCCCCATCACTGATCTCTGCGGGTCCCCACTGGACACAAGCTAGCAGTAGGAAAAACACCCTTCGTCCATTACTCTCTGCATCCAGAAAAGATTTTTCTGATGAAGGGTCTAGGCCCGAAACGTCAGCCTTTCTGCTCCTATGATGTTGCTTGGCCTGCTGTGTTCATCCAGCTCTGCACCTTGTTATCTTGGATTCTCCAGCATCTGCAGTTCCTACTATCTCAGATTTAAATTTATTTTTTTTTTAGTATCTAAGTGCCTGGTTTAAATTAATTGGCTAAATCAAAGTATGTTGTCTTGATAACAAAACAAAATTGTGGCTTAGCCTGCTAACCATCTAGCTTTTTGATACAAATGTTACAGTTCAGGTGCTCTGTGCACCTACAAAACCACAAGCTGCCCACAGACTTTTTTAAAAAATCTCCTAGCTGAGAAAAAGGACATTAAAGGGATCGCGCACTGCTGTCCCCCCGTTATTTTATAAACATCAATATTTTACAAATTCTAACGACCTGCCTTCCGACTCACAAGTACTCTACCCAACTTCACAACAATTTCAAGACTAAACTCATTGGTGTTGCAGTTTGACCCATCTCTGAGGACCCCAGCATCAGAGATACTAACCTTCAACCAATTTAATTCAATGACCCAAGGAACAGTTCAAGCCATTGGTTACTCTGAAGACTATGGACCATGACAGCATTCTGCAATAGCACTGAATCCAACCCAACCAATAAGTGTTCAATTAGTTTGCCCTTGATCATCAGCAAAGTCAAGGAAGAATTGTTGATAGTTCTGTTGAGCAGTACTTGTAAATGAAACAGCTGCTCACTGACACTCAGTTTGTGTGCTGCCAGTACCACACAGCTCCTGGCATTTTATAGGATTTGTCCAAACATGGGCAAAAGAGCTGAACTCCAGAAGTGAGGTGAGAATGACTGGTCTTGACATTAAGGCAATATTTGACCAAGTGTGGCACCAAGTAATTCCAGTAAAATTGGAGTCCATGGGGATCATGGATAAAACTAATCACTTATTGGAGCTATACGCAACACAAAGGAAGGTGGTTGTTGTTACAAAGTTGTATAGAGTAATCGTGAATTGGAAAGCAGGAAGCTAGAATTTGTTTTTGTAAATAAAAATGATAAGAGAGAAGAGTGCATAGTCCTTTTAAGAGGTGATGTGCTTTTTTAAGCTTGGAGATTTAAACAAAAAAGTGTCTGTAAGCAGCTGAACAGATACAGACCATTCTGAAATGGAAACATATATCAATTGGCTGTGTGATTAGAAACCTTAGGCTTGTTTTGATGTTTTGGCCACCAGCTGAAATTAGCTAATTAATTTGAACCAAGCCCATTGAATTTAAACCAGATGGTTTTGACAACCTCAGACCAATGCTACTGTAAGAGAATTGATATGTCATCCAAGGTATATAGGGAGAGGATTTTTGAAAATCAATGTGAGAGCAGATGGCTATCTGAGAAATAAGCATCTAGCTCTCATAAGAATCACTAAGGTCTCTAAGAAAGAACCATCTATCCATAAAAGGTACCATGGCACTTCTACCTAAAAGTCCTCACAGAAGAATCACAGAAAAAATATCTGTGACAACGGATCAGCAGAAGAAAGGTGTTTATGACTTTGAGAGACTAAGTTTTAATTTATTTTCTTATTATTTGGGTTTATATAAGTGGGACTTGCGTTCATTGGAACAGCATACCAGTATAATTTAGTTCAGTTGGAAAATAGTTCATAGTTAAGGGGAAATTGTTCAGTTTGTCAGTAATTCTGTTAATTTGTTCACTGTTAGGGTTAAATAAAACAAATCATTACTTGTTACTTATAAAGTGAATATCAGGGATTTTCTTTCATTTAATCTCCCCTCCTTCATAACAATTGTTGAAGATCAGTCATTCAAGTTCCAGGACACCTCTGTAGGAATTTCTCAGGATAGTGACCTAGGCCCAATCACCTTCAGTTTCTTCATCAATGACCTTCCCTCCATCAGAAGGTCAGAAGTGGGAATGTTCACTGATGATTGCACAATATGCAGCCCCATTTGTAAATTCTCAAATATTGAAGTAGTCCTTGTCCATTTGAACTTTCAGATTAGGCTGAAAAATGACAAATAACATTTGTGCCATACAAGAAGAGAGAACCTAATATTTGTCCCTTGACAATGGCAGGAATGTGTAGTATTGACAAGATGTACTGCATTAACTCACCTCGCTTTCTTCCAAACCCATTACCTCTCCACCTAGGACATAGAGAGGGCAGAGGGAACTCCACAACCTGCGAGTTCTACTACAAACCTCGAATCATCCTGATTTGGAATTATATTGTTTTTCCTTCACTGTTGCAAAATCCTGGCACTTCCTTCTTAACAGCTTATAGGGTTAACAGCTATAGGGTTTCCCTATACCCCAAGAACTCCAGCGGTTCAAGGAGGTACTCAATACCAACTTCTCAAGGGCAATTAGTGATGGTCAATAAAGATTGGTCTAGGTAGCAATACCTTCGTCCCTTGAATGAATTTTTAAAAAGTTTCAGCCATTTAGCAATTCTCATTTGTTTTGAGAAGACAAAGGAACTGGTGGGAATGTAACAAAAAAATTATAAGACTTCAATAAACAGTATATATTATAGAATAACCATTTTTGGAATGTCATGGAAGTACTGAGAAATGAATTGAATTGACTAGGAAATCTACCATGTAGCTTATTGGATGATATCACAAACAGGCATTGTACAGGTAACAAAGTTACTGCCTGTGTTCACATGTTGAGTTTTATACTGGTGCTGAGGGCTAGTTATGTTCATTTCTATGTCTTTCATTCCCTCTTACTAT